CCGCATAAGCTGTCTAGCAAAAACCACACTCCCCACAAAAACTCTTGAAGTGCACTTCAAGAGGCCAGGCCAGCACCCAGAACTGACAGAACTGTGAGAGGGTAGGACCACATGGCAAACACAAGGACACTTCCAAGGAAGGCTTAAGAGGCAGCCTGGATGTTATCATCAGAAGCCCATAAAGATAAACTCATAGAGAGCCTGGAGGGGAGAGTTAGCCATGGTTGAGAATGGGAATGTGGCCTACAACTATGAGGTAGGCTTTTGTTTGAAGCCCATAAAGGCAAACTGATAGAGAGCCTGGAGGGGGAGAGTTTGCCATGGTTGAGAATGGGCATAGGAGTGTGGCCTACTCCTATGAGGTAGGCTTTTGTTTGTTTTGGGTTTGATACCCATGCATTAGCAGGTTCATAATGCACACAAAAATACTGCTTTGTACTACTCCAACTTACTACATGTGGCCAGTCTGGTCCTTTTAATTGAACCATAGGATAGAGATCCTAAGTATTTGTTTAAAATATTGATAACATACAAAAATATGTCAAGAAAATTCTTATAATGTCTTACTGACGTCAACGGCATTCTGCCACAAACATTTTTATTAGCCTCTTTATTTGATGAGCTGGTGATCCAGGGCCAGCATTTTGTTTGTGTTTGTGTTTTTGTTTGGGGGGAAAAGTTGTTGTTGTTGTTGGGGGTATATTTGTTTTTGTTGTTGTTTTTTTGTATGTCAATCCTGCAGTTTGCTATGCAGACCAGGTTGGTCTTGAACTCATAGAAATCTGGTTGCTTCTGCCTCCTGAGTGCTGAGGACTAAAAGTATGCTCCGCCACACCTGGGTAAGCACGTGCTCCTCTCTTAGTCCCTAGTTCTCTGATTGTCCTTGAAGTCTTCTTTATCTCAAGCTGTCCTCAGACCCACAGCAATTCTGCCCCTGACTCTTGAGTGTTGAGATAAAGTTGTGCGCTATCGTACTTAGTTTCCTATTAATCTTCATGCAAGCTGATACAAGTGTATTTGCTTCTCTCCCCTTTTGTTTCTAACTGAAAATGGCACACTTTGTTCTGCATCTTGCTTTTTTATCCATGCAATAATATATCTTGGACATGACGCGCTCCAAAGGTAAGAAACCACCTGACAGCTCTAAGCTTGAAGCACTGCATTCTTTGGCTAATCTATTTGTTTAGTAAGTTCTTTGTTATGACTATTTAAATGGTTTCCAAGTTTACTGAAAACAGTGTTGTAGCTCAGTGGGAGAGACCTTGTCACTTTTGATTTGGGTTTGCTCCATACCATGCACAGCAAATAACTAAATGAGTAGCTAGAAACAGTTCCAGCAACCTTACAGACAGGCAAACCTGTAGGATACTTTCCCTCCCCAAAGGGCAACTGTCATATCACACACTGAATTTGTCTTTTTCATAGATTTTCACTGAATTCCCTCCATATAATATAAAGCAAGGGCTGGAGAGACGGTTCAGTGGTTAAGGACACTGTCTGCTCTTCCAAAAGACCCATATTTGTTTTGGTTTGGTTTGGTTTTGATTTTTAGAGACAGAATTTCTCTGTGGCTTTGTTGGAGCCTGTCCTGAAACTAGCTCTGTAGACCAGGCTGGACTCACAGAGATCCACCTACTTCTGCCTCTCGAATGCTGGGATTAAAGGACACCAACACCCAGCTCCAAAAGACCCATATTTGATTCTCAGCCCATACAGAGACTGACAACCCCAAATGTCACTCCAGTCCCAGGGGACCCAACACTTTCTCTAGTCTCCTGAGTACCAGGTATGCATGCAGACAAAGCACCCATTAGTAATAATAATTTAAATTTTAAATAAATTTACAATTCCAGGAGTAATGGAATTCCCCCCAAACCTCACCAATAGTGTTATCAGTGAATCCCAACTGGAATTATTTTTCTTTATTATTATTGTTTATTTTATGTATGTATGAATTTCAGTATCCTTCCATGTCTCAGAATCATCTGAACATTTATGCAACATATTAAAGAATACCGGTGTTACTCGCTGGGCTTGGTGGTCCATGCCTAGTATCCAAGCACTTGAGAGGTGGAGATAGGAAGATCAATAAATATTCAAGGTAATCCTTGGCTTCACATCAAGTTTCAGGCCAGCCTAGACTACTTGAGACTTCATTTCAAAAGGCAAACAAAACCAAGACCAACAGTCTCACAAAGAGAAGTTGTCTGATAAGAAGGAAGCTGACGTTAAGGTCAACCTAGAAAATGGTTTCCCCTCATATTTCATAAATGTGCTAAAAATACCAGACCACCACAATGGCCAAACAGCAAAGGGAGCTCATCCTGAGAAGCTGCACATCACCAACCAAACACCCAATTGGCTGGTCTTATCTAATAGGGGTCCACCATGACCTGGAGCAAACAGATTGGGGAGGAGAGCATTTTTCCATACATACATGCGTTTATGTGAAGCTGGGAATTAAGCCTTGAAGACACGAGGCAAGTACTCCATCATTGAGTAACACCTACTTTCAGAGCTCTCATGGATCTTGTCTTCCTGATTGGTTGGAAGGCAATGGATGCTGGGGTGAAATAACACACGTGGTTGTCCTCTGCTGCCTTCAAGCAGTTGGACTATAGCTGTGGCTGTCCTTGGAGACCCATAGGCCAGTGATGACAAGTGAACCACACATGTGATTGCAAGCTCATGGCCTCCAAGATGGTGAAAGTGCTTGCTGCCAAGCCTGATAACTGAAGTTTGATCCCTGGAAACCACATAACTTAGGTAGAGAACGGACTCCAAATTATCCTCTGATTGCTACTTGTATGCCACGGAACTCCTGTGCGCGCGCGCGCACACACACACACACACACACACACACACACACACGTATTTGCAAACTGGCTATAGGAGTCTAAGAGTAGTAGGGTGCAGTTTTAAATCTGAGCTACCCTTCCAGGTATCAGTAGGGCAGGCTTTGCTAAGATGGTGTTTGAAGGAAGAATAGAGAAAACCTGTAGATGTCTAGATGGCCGACTCTGTAATGTAAAGAGGTGTACTTGTGTCTACAGCACGAGAAGGACTGTAGATACTGCTCAGTAGCAGAGCACTTGCTGTGTATCACAAGCAATGGCAAACTGGAGAGAGCCGGACTCAGGGGCTGTTTTATCCCAGCTACTTGGATGAGTTACAGAGGGCTGCCCAGTTTCGAGGAGGAGGAGACATGGTTAGATATGGTTACTCAGGGAGCTAAGACAGGAGGATTGCCACAGTTATGAAGCTTGTCTGGGACACATAGCAAGACCCTGCCTCACAAAAACAAACAAACAGAAATCAAGACATGGAAAGGAAAGCCAGTGTGATTGAGGACGTACAGATGTATGGAGAGGAGAGGAGACAGGAGTGGGGGAGGGGGAGGATGGCCCCCTGAGATAAGTGGTAAATACAGAGGCTTTGTTTTAACAAGGTCTCTCTTTGTAGCCCAGCTGTCCTGGAATTCACTATGTACACAGCAGCCTGGGCTCAGATCTCTGCCTGCAGAGGGCTTTTAAAACTTTTACTTTCCTCCATCTTGACGTTCTGCAGTGCTGGGGACTAAGGCCAGGGTTTTGTGCATGCTAGGCAAACCGTCGCCACATACTTCTTGATGTCTAGCTCTTACCTGCATCTGGCCCTTCTAGCAAGGGCTCACAGACAGTCCAGTGTCCCCACTGTTATAAAGGTAGAAGGCAAACGATGACCCAAATCCCCAGACACACTTGGGCAACCTTTTGTTTGCTTTGGCTTGTAGTTCCTAGCAATAAGGGGTCTGTCCGTCTTGTGATTTTGTGTCCCACCCATAATTCGGCACGCCTTAAAGCTTTCCTTGTTAGTCTATATAATCCCCTTTGTTGGAATGTCTGTGATTCCAGCACAACATGGTCTTCTCCTGTTTGAGGTTCGCTTTAGAGTAGCATCATTCATAACTACACCAGACACATAGATTCCAGTCTGGCCAACCCCTATCATATATTATCTATGAATGAACTTCATATCTAGGAAAACCGTAGCTGTTATTCTTGTCAGAAGCGATAACATGTCAAGCGGAGTATATGTTGATTCAGAAATGGGGAAAGGAAAACAGGTACTGGTACCTGTGACTACCAGATGCCATAGCTGCCCTGCCAAGGCTTTCAGGGACCCAGGACCAGCTACCAAAGTTCGTCCAAGGACAAAGCTACTCCTGTCGTCACTAAACACACGGAGCCATCAAAGAGGATCAAGCCATGGATAAAGTGGTCCTCAGGAAAGACTGAGACTAAATAGGAAACATTAAGTAGAAATGCCACAGTTTGGACAGCTTGAGGGTTCTGACTTTGGAGGCATCCGGTCCAGGGGAGTCTGAGGTAGAGCCATCCTAAATGTGTGACTCCTAAGGCTCTGGCAGTAAGCAGATTTGTGTTGCTGTTGACACAGGGGGTGACCAGGTCATGAATTCTGACCAGCGTGAGAATTCTACTGCTGTGGTTTGGTAGCTTTCACACCAATGTCCTGTGGCTGTGTCTTCATCCATTTAAAATCTGTTAAGTTCCGGGAGGGAAGAGGTGTGGTCGCACAGGGCAGGGGGAGTGCGGAACGCCTTTAATTCCAGCACTAGGGAAGCAGAGGAAGGTGGCTCTGTGAGTTCAAGGCCAGCCTAGAGTTCAGGTCAGCCAGGGCTACACAGTGAGATCCAGGCTCAGGAGTTTTTGGAAAGCGGAACTATCCTTGCCTCGATGCCACCAATGAAGGCAAGGCTCTTCCCAAGATTTTATCACATACCCGGGTACCCTCTGACTGCCCTCCAAATGCTTCTCTGCAGTTGCTCACAAAGGCAGAACCCAACACGCGCTCCCTGACTCTCTATCCTGGCCCGGAGGAAGGCGTGCCGGAGCTCACCCTTCATTGTCACACCTTCCTCTAGAAGATGCCCCTGTGCCTGGCCTTCCCTCCCCACGGACCCGGTCCCCCTGGTCCCTGACGCCCCACTTGCCCCTCACCTGATGTAGGGGAGAATGGGGTTGACGTGCCCCGAAAGCACCGCGACCACGTAGGAGATGATGAAGGCTGCGGACGACCATGTCACCAGGAGGAAGGGGACGAAGGCCATCCCCCTGAGGAAGCACAGCATCGCGGAGAGGGCTCGCCGCGCTCGTCGGGCCACCAAGCCGGCTTGCTGCGGGCTGCCTGGAGGCGGTGGCCACGACACCGACAGCTAACGTGTGGCGGACGGAGGCTCCGCGACAGCCGGGGCAGGCCCAGCCCCGGAGGGAGGGAAGCGCTCAGAGGCGAGAGGGCGGAGGGCGGACGGGCAGCCGGGTGGGTGGGGCGCGGGCGGTCCAGGCTTGTTGCGAAACCGGTGAAGTCACAAAGCGGCAGCCTGGTCCCGCGGAGCCGGAGCGCGCGGCCACCTCCCCGCCCACGCCAGGCCACGCCGGGCCGCTGCGCTTCCTTTCGCTTTTGCCTGGGACAGTGTCGGGCCGGTGCGGCGGGACCCGCGGGGCTGGCCAGCTCCTGCTGGAGTTCGCCGGCTGGGCTGGATTCCCAGCTTCTCCTTCCTTCCTTCGGGGTCTCCCTCTGAGCCTCTCTCCAGCACCCACGGGACGTCCTTCCTTGCAGTGTCTGGTCACAGATGCCCACCCCATCGGGTCGAGCGGGGCCTGCAGGGGTTCAGTGACGTTTGCCAGGTCACTGGGCATGGATGTGACACATGCCTAGGTGATAGGTACCTGGAAACGCAAATCGCGTGGTGGCCAGGTTTGATGATAGGGTGCCGTGGCATCCCTGGTGCTTAGCTACTACTGAAGCGGAGGCAGGAGGATCACAAGCTGAAGGCCTGACTGGGCAGCTTATTGAGACGGCCTCTAAAGGTGGGGATGCGGCTCAGTGGTGGAGCACTTGCCTAGCGCAGCTGAGGCTCTGGGTTTTATCTCTAAGCATCGCAAAGGACCTCATTCAATCAAGTGATGGGGAGGATTGGATCCAGCCTGGGTTACCCAGGTTACTACCCATGGTTCTGTTCCCACCAAAACTACTTGGAGTATTTATTTCCTAGCAAAAGACCAGATGGCTCGACCCACTTCAGATCCTTCTCAAACTCCACGGAAACCAAACTGATGGGTGTTCCTGAAGCACAGGCCTGCTCTGTGCTACCGAGTTATAGTTGGGGATTCTGTGCCGGCCCACCCCCTTCCCCCAGCTGTCATTCATGGTATTCATCGTACATCTTTTTTTTGGAGGGGGGGGACGGGGTTTCTCTGTAGCCTGTCCTGAAATTTGCTCAGTAGACCAGGTTGGCCTCAGACTCACAGAGATCCTCCTGCCTCTGCCTGCCAAGTGCTAGGATTAAAGAGACATGGACATGGACCACCCCACCCCACCCTGCCTTCTCCTTTTTTTTTTTTTTTAAGAGTTAGATCAAAATAAAATTTTCTCTTGCAGAGGACTGATGACCCCTACCCCAAAGGAATTTCACTTGATCACCTTATGTTTTTGGTGATTGTATGATATGATTCCCTACAAAATCCAATTTGACAGTTACTGTTTTTTGTCACTTAGAGCTCTCTCTCTCTCTCTCTCTCGACCTCTCTGTGTGTTTTGAGTCTAACAGGGGCTAGCCTCAAACTCATTCTGAGATCCTGCAGCTTCAGCCTCATACATCCTGAGATTATAGGTATACACCACCACAACTGGCTTCCTAACCATTTAAAACGTCGAATGTACTAAGCTGTCTGACCAGAGTAGCAGTAGTATGCTTGCTGGTGCTGATGTTTTAAGGAATTCAGATGAAGTTTATTACAAAGTAAAGGTGTGAACTCAAGGACAAATGTAGACTAAAAGGTCGCCTATCTTGTAAGTTACAATGAATACGTTTGCAGACACATTTCTTTTCTTTCTTTGTTTTTGTTTGAGTTTTTTTTTTTTTTTTTTTTTTTTTTTGAGACAGGGTTTCTCTGTGTAGCTTTGGCGGCTGTCCTGGAACTCATTCTGTAGACCAGGCTGCCTTGAACTCACAGAGATCCCCCTGCCTCTGCCTCCCTAGTGCTGGGATTAAAGGCATGTGCCACTGATGCCGGTGCACATATGTTTCTTAAAGAAGATTATTTTGAAGAAAGCCAGCATAATGATTCATTTTTTATTGACAACTTAATACTATCAGGAAATGCCTAGGGCACTAATGTCAGACATTGTGGATGTATCCATGAAGGGATTTCTGATGTGGCTTCAGTGAGAGGGGAAAACTGACCAAGTATATAAGTGGCCCCCCACATGGTCTCCCTTCATCAGTGCTGCAGATCTAGCCAGTCTGCTGCCATGGCTTGCCCGCTGTGGACTGAGTGCCTCTGAACTGTGAGCCAGCATAAGCCCAGCCTCCTCTAAGTAGCTTTTTCTTAAGTATAAGCAATCAGTCACAGCATAAAAAAAAAAAAAAAAAAAAAAAAAAAAAAAAGCAATGAGCAATGAACGCCACTGACATGTGAGAAGTGGTTACCAAGAGGCAGAAGAAACAGGCAAGCAGATCCAAGTCATCAAATAAAATGTATTTATTTATTTATTTGGTCGGTTGGTTGGTTTATTGAGATAGGATTTCTCATGTATCTTTGAGCCTGTCCTGGAACTCGCTCTGTGGACCAGGGTGGTCTGGAACTCATAGAGATTCACCTGACTCTGCCTCCCAAGTGCTGGGATTAAAGGCATGCGCCACCACCGTGTACTGGTGTATGATTTTCTAAAGCTTGCCTGAGGATTCAGAAAGCAAAGTCAGCCACAAGCCATGGAAGCCAGGCACAGGCCTTTAATCCCAGCAGCCAGAAGGCTAGGAGGTGGTGGTACACACCTTTAATGCAGAGGTAGATGGATCTCAGTGGATTCAAGACCACCCAGGGATACATTAAAGTGAATCAGTCTGAAAGAGGGTCAGAGCTCATACCTTTAATCCCAGGACCCAGGAGAAGTATTTAAGACCGGAGCAGGGTCAGTATCAGACATTCATTCATTCTCCAGCTACTCTGAAGATAGGAGGCATTGATTTTCCAGTCACACTGAGGAGACACAGCGGGATCAGCCCATTCAGCCTGAGGTAGTGGTGAGAGCTAGTGGCCCGCTACTTTATTTTTCTGTTCTCCAGCTTGAAGTTTGAACCCCATTATCAGTCTCTGGGTCATTTATTTTTCATGTTACGCAACCACCTGGCTCCGGTGCAATTTAGTAAGATTGCCAACAAAAGCATGTCTTACATTGCACAGTAAGGTAACTGGGCCTTTTCTTTACATTCCCTCCCCTCTTTACATTCACTTATGTAGAGAGAGAGAGAGAGAGAGAGAGAGAGAGAGAGAGAGAGAGAGTGCGCGTGCTAGGGTCACCTGAGAAGAGTTAAGAAAATGCCCCCTTCACTCCTGTGGGCTAGTCTGTGGGAGCATTTTCCTGATGAATGGTTGATACAGGACGGTCCAGCCCACAGTGGATCATGCCACCCCTGCACAGGTGGTCCTGCGTGGTATAAAAAGAAACTGGAGCAAGCCATGGAGAGAGAGCCTGGAAGGAGTGTTCTTTCGCGGGCTCTGCTTCAAGTCCTGCCTTAAGTTTCTCTCGTGGCTTCCCTCCATGATTAAGCCCTTCGCAAGTTGGCTTTGATCAGAACTTTATCACAAGAGAAACCAAACTAAACAGAACACATGCCAGGGCCACCTGGCAGGCAAGATAGCACTTATATCCCACATGGCAAGCTGGATCGCTACACAGGTATATAAACATAACTAGCCGTGTGTGTGTGTGTGTGTGTGTGTGTGTGTGTGCTGTGTGTGTGTGTGCTGTGTATGCGTGTGTGTGTGTGCGTGTGTGTGTGTGTGTGCTGTGTATGCGTGTGTGTGTGTGTGTGTGTGTGTGAGCATATGGCACACAACAGTCCCGACAGCACAGCTGCTGCTTTCTTTGCCTTCCTGAAGTTCGCCTTACCACAGACCTCCCCAGTCCAACCTTTACAGACTTTGACGCCACGCCCAACTCTTACTTCTGTATTTAAAATAACAAAACATTTTGACTTTTTGTATTTCAGTTATTTTCCCACAAGAGCCATCACCCTACCCAAAGGGCAAATAACCATCTTAAACTGTCTGCACCCATCCTAAGTCACCTGAGAGTATGGCATTGCTTTCGTTACCTCCGTTAACATGGGTGTGACAGTGGCAGTCAGATATTGGCTCTGTTTCCATTAGCGCTATAAACTTTTGATTTTAGGTTTTCACCTATACTCCTTTTTAAAGTGAGTGCTTATTTTGCTGTTGTACTAATTACTAGTTACCCACTCCAGTTTCTAAGTCCCCTTCCTAATAACAGAATCCTTATTTATTCTGCCCACCCCCAAAGACCTTAGCTTCCCTTGTAGTTATGGGTGCTTTTGACTTGATTTTGGCCCATGCATGGAAAAGAAGTATTTCATGATATCTATGAAAATGCCATTTTGGGAAATCTGTCTCATAATTAATAATAATGATGATGATGATGATGATAATGTAAAGTGGCAAGAACATGAAAATTGAGAAGAGACTTAAGGAACCGTCACAGGCTGATGAGTAGGGTGAATGGACTTAAGACAGCCTGGACCCTGGAACACAGATGGGACATTAGAGAAAAAGAGAATCCTAAGACTTGAATAGAGTCTGTCGTCATCCTCAATGAGTGGCAATGCACAGGCATTCATTTCTTGTTTTGATGAATGCGTCACGGTCATGTAAGATATCAGCATTAGAAGAAAACACAGGGCAAAGTATGCATAACTATCTTCTATTGTCACGATTTTTCTATACATTTAAAATTATCCCCAAGAAAATGTTTCTTCTAAAAGGAACTGTAGTAGTTTATTTGTCATGAACTCAGTGCAAAGTTCTTTCTCTAAATATAACACACACACACACACACACACACACACACACACACACTTGTTTGGGAGATTGCGCCTAACCTTGTAAATGCTAGCCATATGCTCTACCATCAAATCATAACCTCTGTGGTAGTTTTCTCATATTTCAAACTTCACATTTTTAGACGGCAGTGGTGTTGCATGTCTGTGATCCCAGCACTTGGGACTGCAAGCAGAGGATTGGGAATTCAGGGTTAAACCCCTGATACATAGGGAGTCTGGCCACATGAGCCCCTTTCTCAAAACAAACAATAATTCCCATAGGCTTTTTGTCTCTTACTCTAAATTGGGAGACCTGTCTCACATCAGCAGATCCAGGATCTGGCAAACACCTAATTTCTAATGTTCACACCCCCCCCCCGCCCTTTTATTTTTTTGGTGGTGGTGGTGG